CAAACCAATAATTGAACTCAACCACTGTGGCTCAACTTCCAACCAAATGGTAGATGCCCTATAAGGTGAACAGTAATACCAGGGAGATATTATTGTTAGACCAATCAACCATATAAGATCAAAAGGGAAGCATTTGCCCAGGGACAAAGCTAAGAAGGCAGAAAGGGATAGGAAAGAACAAAGAGAAATGGTAAGCAGAGAGGAAGTGGGAAGATTGCTGTTACATTGTGGGGATTACAATGAATATCACAAAACAAAATGTGTATGAATTGTTGAATGGAGAACCAGTTTGCTCTGTAAACTTTAACCCAACTCGCCATAAAAAAAAGAGAGAGAGAGAAAGAAAAAGTAAGAAATAGCTCTCTGTGCAGAATGAAAACTAAAAAACTTACTGCATGGTTGATTTTCCTGAGACATATGCTAATTAAAAAAAAAAATGTATTGGCATTATGGACAAGAGCAAATGTATTGTTAGTTATTCTTTGGCCTGAAGTGCTAAGGGACATGGGTGCTACAATGGCAATGTTGGGTTGTGGAGGAGAAACAAACATTTAAGATGGTAACACATTATCATATCCACATAGCCTGAGAGAGGAAACACAGAGAAACAACAGATTAATTAAGAAGCTATTGTAGTATCACCAAAAAGCTCTGAACTTTAAAGGCCTTATTTGATCTAATGCAAGCCAGCCCCATATATTTCTCAGTCGTAGGCACTATAACATGATATATGCATTTGAAAGCCCTTCAAAAAATCTTAAATTACTCTACAAATTGTGCTATCAATGCCATTTTGATTATCCTCACTGTTCCTAGAATATACTAGTCACAACATATGAGGAAATATTCAGAATAATTTTTATCTGTATCTCAAACTAAATAGAATATATTTCAAGGAAACAAGCATACTGAGCATCTGCTACCCCAAAAGCAATTTGATAGGTATAGTGGGTGATACCAACCAAAAAAACAAACTCACTGCTGTGGAGTCGGATCCGACCATAGTGACCCCTCCTTGGGTTTCCAAGGCAGTATCACTATAGAAGTAGATTGCCCCATCTTCCTTCTGAGGAGTGGCTGGTGGACATGAACTGCCAGCCTTCTGCCTTTCTGATCTCTCATGGTTGATTGTTCTAGGGAGTGCATCTTCCTGGTGTAGGTGTCTCAGCTTGTAGGCCTGTCTACTTTGGCTGAGAGTTAAGCCACGGAGTGAGTTCAATTCCAGGCCTAAAGAGTGACTTGGGCCAATAGTCTCAGGGGTTTCACCAGTCTCTATCAGACTAATAAGCCTGGTCTTTTTTATGATTTTGAATTTTGTTCCACATTTTTCTCCCACTTTATCCAGGATCTCCAATTTTGATCCCTTTCTGAGTGGTGAGCATTTGTAGCTGGGCAGTCTAGTTCTTCTGGTCTCAGGATCACATAGGCTTAGGTTCTCATGGTCCATTTAATCTTTTGGCCTAATTGTTTCCATGTCTCTGTGATTTTCTTCACTTTTCTTTGCTCTGGACAAGGAGAGACCAATAATTGCCTTAAGATGGCTGCTCACAAGCTTTTAAGACCCCAGTTTCCACTCACCGAAGTAAGATATAGAATTTTTTATATACCATGTTGTGCCAATTGAGCTGGATGTCCCGTGTGACCGTGGTCCCTAGCCTGCAGGCCCAACAACTAACTCACTCCCTCAAGGTGCTTCTTTGTGGTCAAGAATTTATCCTAACTTTTCCTCCTGTTATGTTTAAATTACATATGGACGTTTTTATGGCACATACAAATACGTTTGTAGGACTGTCATCTGCCAAACCTATGTATGGTTGTGGGTATGTTCCCATTTGCCTGTCTATACCTGATCTTCTTGCCTGTCTACCTATCTATCTGATATGCACATCTTGAGCTTCCTGACTCTTTGTTCTATCTATGTCTTTGTGACCCTGAAATAGCAGAGGGTGAGACTTAGATCTTTTCCCTCTTGGGCTAAAATTTGTCTCTATTCCTAGCAACTACTATAGACCCTTCCTAACTTTGTTATTGCTCAGATTGCCCACACTCTGTCAATGGAACAAACTAAAAATAATTTTAATTCAAAAATATATTTATGGCCTGGTGCCTTTTGGGCTTATGGGTGGTCACAGAGCAAGAGAAATTGACCTTTCCCCTTCTTGTTTCCTATATTAAGCAACTAAATAATAATTGAAAAATAGGGTGGAAGGCAGATGGAAACTAGAGAAGTGGCATATTACTGATTGACTAGACATTTGAGAGAACTGAGTATCAGTGGTAGCGGAAGGGTAACAGAGATGGTGTTTTGGTTATCTTCTGCTGCTATAACAGAAATACCAGAAGTGGATGACTTTTAAAACAGGGATTTGTTCTCCTATAGTTTAGGGGGCTAAGTCTGAGTTCAAAGTACCAGCTCTAGGGGCTGGCTAAAAGCCCCTCAACCTTGGGCTTCAGCTCTGCCTCTTGCTTCTAGCCCACTGGTGCTAGAGGCCTTTCTTAACTCAGGCAGGTGCTGGCTGCTTAGGCTGACAAATCCACGGTTGACAAGGAAAATAGCATAGTCCCAAGATTATCAAGCAATATGGCAGACCACTAATTCAAGTCCATTAACAGTCGGGTCTGACTCGACGGCACATAACAACAACAACAACAGTCCCAAGATCAGCAGACAACATGGCAAGCCATTGAGATTAAGACTCCACAAATCCAGGATCCAGATGTGCCAAAAACTCAAGACCTTTCTCAAAGTGTCTTCTTATATACTGGAAGCAGACAGCATCCTTAAGGCAGCTACTCAGCTGCTCACAGTAGATTCCACCATGGAGTTGATTACCAGTCTCATCACGTGGAATAACTGCATCCTGCTGCCCAGCCACTCAAAACCAGGACCAGCCAACTTGACACATAACCTTAACTACCACAGATGGGAGACAATCATTACATGTTTATGGCCACAGCCTCTTAGAGGGCAGCAGCACGTAGCTTTTCACAAAGAACATGAATCCATGATAGTTTCAGAACCCAAGCTAAGCTTTCTTTTTAGTGCTTTGTGGGTTAAAACTTGTTTAGCAAATCATTTCAGAGCAAAGCTCACTCGATTTTCCTAGGCAGGAAGGTGTTGGAAGAGTACTCACATTGAGCAGCAAGGAGGAGAAAGAAATGGTACTAACTTTGGACAAGTAGGTCTGGCCTCAGTAGTGGAAAAGGTCACCGGGAAAGTGTTTTATAGTAACTGCACCTCCAGTAATAAAATGTATGTCATCAAAGTGTCCTTGTTCATTGCTACGGGGATATCGTTGGTGGTTGTGGTGGTGCCTGCCATTGAGTTCAGTCTGACTCATGGCCACCCTATGTGTGCAGAGTAGAACTGCTCCATGGGTTTTCAAGGTTGTGATGTTTCAGAGCAAATCACCAGCCCATCTTCCAAGGCACTTCTGATTGGGTTCAAATCGCCAACCTTTGGCTAGTAGTCGAGCACATAACCATTGGTATAACCCTAGGGACCCCCTGCTATAGGGATAAATAGGTATTTTAAGTTTAGCACTGATTAGCTCTTTTTCAGATGGATTCTGTAATAAAATTTACTTCTAACGAGTTCAAAAATGCATTGTCAGGAGTTAGAATTATAAAAATGCAGATTAATTTTGCCATTGTGATTGCATCAACTTCCAAATTGAAGGCAAATAAAAATACTCAAAGTGTAGTTTTCCAAGCATGAATACTTACCAGATGCATATCCTGGCCAAATAAGGATAAAACTAAAACCAATACTTTTAAAGGAAATAATTTGTTGATTTTGACAACATTGATATGGAATCTTAAATGATTCGATCTTAGGTCATTTATGATGGACTCTGTAGACAGTGGAGAGTTTTCTCTTTAGCTTGAAATGCTTTTAATCTGACCTGCTTCTTTTCATTTGCCTTCCTTCATATCAAAGTGGTGCACTGAGCAGTTCTAATGCTAATGACCACCAAATACAGGAAATACTTCGTCATTTTCATGCTTACCATGTGCATTAATTTAATCAATGGTTTAATTCACCATGGGCTGAAATAAGATCATTCAGTCTCCTCTTGGAAACTCAAGTGAGAGTTGAACCACAACCCTTTGACGGCAAGGCAAAATTAGTATGGCTGGCCAAACACTCTAGGAAAACTAGTCCCATAATTTTCTGTATGAAATAATTGAACTTATTTTGGAAAACATATCAGAACCACTTTCCATCCTAGAGTTCATTCTAGTAGAACTTTCCTAAAGGAAAGGCAAAAACACAAGCAATAACTATTTTGTGACATACTTCCTCCCTAGGGTTTTATCTGAATTTTATTATTAATATCTATTTAATCCGAACATATGCAGTACATCCTAAATTTGTAGTCCTAATCCATCAGAAAAGTACATTAGGGCTATGCAGTTAGGAAGCCCCTGTGGCCAGTGGGATTCACTATTGCATGGTAACAATGGTGGTGATGAAGGAGCCTTAGCCTTCCACAAAAAAAAAAAAAAAAAACATTGCCATGAGTTGATTCTGACTCACAGCAATCCCCATTGGGTTTCCGAGGTGGTCAATCTTTATGAAAGTAGATTGCCCCATCATCCTTCACAGAGTGGCTGGTGAGTTTGAACTGCCAGCCTTCTGGTTAGCGGTCAAATGCCTTATGCACTCCACCGCCAAATCAGTACCTGCCTTAGCAAAAATTGAGAGAAGGCCTCTATAGTTAGGAAGCTCATGGTATATGATAGATGTGAATAGGGAAGAAAAGTCGTAATAGGTATTTGGATTTCGTTTTGATGTGAAGGAAGTAATTTCCTAGTAGCATTTGAGTTTTTTGAAAATTCATACATTATTTGCACTTAGTCAAGTTTTACTTTCTGAGGTTTGCCAGATTACAGGGAGGCTTTTTGAAACAGGAAAGGAGAGCTATCAATATTGTGGAACTGTGCACAAACTATTTCCTGCAAATTTTTACATTTTAACACTCCGTTCTTTTTTACAGGAGTTTAGATATGATCGTTTTGTAGAAGATGGTAAGAAGAAAACCACCTTTTTCAAAAGAGGAAAAAAGCTGAGTCATTACATAATTCCATTTGGATCTGGAACCTCCAAATGTCCGGGCCGATATTTCGCAGTTTATGAAATTAAGCACTTGTTGTTTGCACTTGTAACTTACTTTGATTTAGAAATAATTGATGATAAACCTGTAGAACAAAGCCACAGTCGCGTATTGTTTGGTACTCACCCTCCAAAATCAGATGTTTTATTTAGATATAAGGTAAAATCTTAAAGAAGTGACAAGAAAAATAAACTAACCTAAATGTCCTCAACTCTTTTTTAAAAGTTTCTGAAAATTGCTTTTTTTGTTTGTTTTTTGTTCTTAAAAGTGCCAGTTCCCATTTCATCTAAGATCAGTTCAGTTTACATTTGGTCACAAATCTGCATTGGGTTTCCCAGGCAATAAATCTTTACATAAGTAGATTGCCTTGTCTTCCTTCCGCAGAATGGCTGGTAGGTTTGAACCTCCAACCTTCTGGTTCGCAGTCAAATGCCTTAGGCACTGCACAACTAGAGCTCCATAAAATACAACAGGAGGGTAGAATGGAAGGAGACATCAAAATCAACTCACTGATAAGGTTAAGATAGCCCTGTTTAGTTTCTACTTTCATATTTTCACTTGTCACAATAAATGTACCTGGCACTGTGACTTTTTTTTAATTAAGTCACTCAAATTCTTCTACAATGTGTGAAAATATACTTTATGTATCAGTGGAAATTTGTGCTGGAAATAGAACAGTCTAACAAATTTCAAATTCTTGGAGAAGAAGGAAATTTAATTTCTGTGAGATGCATTGGATGAAAATGTTTCCTTCAGATATAATACCAATAATATCTATATTGCCAGGCTACATTTGTATTAAATGAGTTTTGCAGTAGATTAAATGCTTCAACTTCCCTTCCACACTTATTCATCCGTAAATACTTTTTATTACTTTCTGTACTCTGGTTCAATAGAACAAAATTTCTTGTTTTATAAGCTTTCCTATGTTCAAGTTAAATACTGGTAAGATTTAATACATAAGAAAACACAAAACCTATATTCAGCGGTTGACCTAGACATTAGTACTAGGTTTATTGTAGCAGCAAATGTTGAAATCATTATAGCAATGATTGTAGCTTTTTTTTTTTTTTTTTGGCTTTCGTGTAAACTGTAAGGGTTTCATGTCAATATTGCAATTAACCCTCTCCTTAGTGCTTCAATTTATATAAACTGGAAAAAAAAAGCAGTACTTTTTTTTTTTTTTTGACACATCAACTTTGGACTTGGTCTTTATTTGTATTATTTTGAATTAACAATTTTATGTAACACAATATAATTTGACATGACACAATGCCTGTATGCCAATGACTCAGATTTCTAACACCAGATTATCAAATGATTGGCTGACATCTGACATCAATAATGATACGATAGGCAAGGCAGAGATAGAATTATATAAAGTTAAGCCAAGTTAAATCAGGTATGTTGATTGGAATTTCTAATAATTCACACATTTGCTAGTTTTTTTAATTAATTTTTAATGGCAATATTAGATAACACCATACTTAATAAATAAATAAGATTTTATAGCATTTATTTCCTCTTTCCTGAATTACATCCTCTAAAATTTCTTTTAGTGAAGAGCTGCTGTTGTATAGTTGTTTTTTTTCTTGATTAAAGATGTCTTTATTCTTCCTCTCATTCTGGAAAAAATTGCTTTGTTGGTGCACAAGTCTAGATTGACAGCACTTTCCTTGCAGCATTTCGAAGACACTGTATGTTCTTCAGACATTCTTGTCATTGAGAAGTCAGCCATCAGTCATTTTCATTACAGGCAGTTCCCAGCTTATGAATGTCCAATTATGGACAACTTGTACTTGCCCTTTGTTGTTGTTAGGTGCTGTCCAGTTGTGTCCGACTCATAGTGACCCTATGGACAGCAGAATGAAATATCACCCAGTCCTGCGCCAGCTCAATGGAGCCAGCTCCATGGGCTCCATTGTTATACTTGAGCCCATTGTCACAGCCATTGTGTCAATCCATCTCGTTGAGGGCCTTCCCCTCTTTCATCAACCTTCCACTTTACCAAGCATGACATCCTGCTCCAGGGAATGGTCTCTTCTGACAACATGACCAAAGTAGGTGAGATGAAGTCTGGCCATTCTTGCTTCCAAGGAACATTCTGGCTGCACTTCCTGCCGGACAGCTTGGTAGTTCTTTTAGCAGTCCACAGTACTTTCAGCATTATTGGCCAGCAACACAACTCAAAAGCATCAATTCTTTTTTGGTCTTCCTTACTCATTGTCCAGCTCTCACATGCATACAAGGTGATTGGAAATATAATGGCTTGTGTCAAGTGCACCTTAGTCCTCAAAGAGACATCCTTGCTTCTCAGCACTTGAAAGAGGTCCCTTGCAGCCAGCTTGCCCAATGCTATATGTCGTCTGATGTCCTGACTGCTGCCTCCATTGGCATGGATTGTAGAACCAAGTAATGTGAAGTCTTTGACAACTTCAATCTTTTCTCCACTTATTGTGATGCTGCTTATAGGTCCAGTTGTGAAGATTTTTGTTTTTTTTGTATTGAGATGTAATCCATACTGCAGACTGTACTCTTCAATCTTCATCAGTAAGTACCTCAAGTCATCCTCACTTTCAGCAAGCAGAGTTGTGTTGTCAACATATCACAGGTTGTTAATGATTCTTCCTCCAATCTTGATGCCACATTCTTCTTCATATAGTCCAGCTTCTTGGATTATTTTCTCGACATACAGATTGAATACCTATAGGGAAAGGATATAACCCTGATGTACTCCCTTCTTAATTTTAAACCCTGCAGTGTCCCCTTGTTCTGTTCAAATGACAGCCTCCTGATCAATATACAGGTTCCTCATGAGCACAGTCAAGTGTTCTGGAATTCCCATTCTTCTCAGTGTCATCCACACCTTGTTATGATTTACACAATCAAATGCCTTTGCATAGTCAGTAAAACACAAATAAACATCTTTCTGGTATTCTTTGCTTACAGCCAGGATCCATCTGACAGCAGCTATGATATCCCTTGTTCCACATCCTCTTCTGAATCCAGCTTGCACCTCTCAAGTTCTCTGTCAATATACTGCTGCAACTACTTTTTAATTATCTTCTGTAAGATATTACTTGTGTGCGATATTAATGGTATTGTTCAATAATTTCCACATTCTGTGGGATTACCTTTCTTTGGAATGGGCACAAATATGGATCTCTTCCAAGTCAGTTGGCTAGGTAGCTGTCTTCCAATCTCTTGACATAACCGAGTGAGTGCCTCCATTGGGGCATCTGTTTGTTGAAACATCTCAATGGGATTCTGTCAGTTCCTGGAGCCTTGTTCTTTACCAATTCCTTCAGTGCAGCTTTGACATCTTCCTTCCGTACCATTGGCTCTTGATCATATGGCACCTCCTGAAATGGATGAAGATCAACCAGTTCTTTTTGGTACAGTGACTCTGTATTCCTTCCATCTTCTTTGGATGTTTCCTGCATCATTCAATATTTTGCCCATAGAATGTTTCAGTATTGCAACTCGAGGCTTAAATTTTTTCCTCAGTTCTTTCAGCTTGAGAAATGTCAATAGTTTTCTTCCCTTTTGGTTTTCTAACTCCAAGTCTTTGCACATTTCATTATAGTAGTTGGCTTTGTCTTCTTGAGCTGCTCTTTGAAATCTTATGTTCAGCTCTCTTATCTTGTCATTTCTTCCATTTGCTTTAGCTACTCTCTGCTCAAGGGCAAGTTTCAGATTTTCTTCTGTCATCCATTTTGGTCTTCTCTTCTTTTCTTATCTTTTTAGTGACCTCTTGGTTTCTTCTTGGATGATGTTCTTGATGTCATCCCACATTCCTCTGGTTTTTGGTCATTGGTGTTCAATGCATCAAATCTATTCTTTAGTTGGTCTCTAAATTCAGGAAGGATATATTCAAGATCATACTTTGGCTCTCGTGGACTTGTTTTAATTGTCTTTAACTTCAAGTTGAACTTGCATATGAGCAGTTGATGGTCTGTTCTACAATCAGCTCCTGGCCTTGTTTTGGCTGAAGATACTGAGCTTTTCCACCGCCTCTTGCCACAGATGTAATCAATCTGATTCCTTTGTATTCCATCTGGCAAAGTCCATGTGTATAGCCACCATTTGTGTTGTTGACAAAAGGTATTTGCAATGAATAAGTCATTGGTCTTGCAAAATTCTATCATGTGATTTCCAGCATCATTTCTGTCACCAGAGCCAAATTTTCCAACTACTGGTGATTTATCTTTGTTTCCAACTTTTGCATTCCAGTCACCAGTGATAATTGACACATCCTGGTGGCATGTTTGGTCAACTTCAGACTGCAGAAGCTGATAAAAATCTTCAATTTCCTCATCTTTGGCTTTGGTAGTTGGTGCATGAATTTGAATAATAGTCATATTAACTGATCTTCTTTGTAGGCATATGGATATTATCCTATCACTGACAGCATTGTACTTCAGGACAGATCTTGAAACATCCTTTGTGATGATGAATGCCACGTCATTCCTCTTCAAATTTTCATTCCTGGTATAATAGACGACATGGTGGTATGATTCAAAATGCCCAAAACTAGTCCATTTCAGCTCACTAATGCCTAGGATATTGATCTTTATGTGCTCCATTTCATTTCTGACAACTTCCAATTTTCCTAGATTCATGTTTCGTACATTTCATGTTCCAATTATTAATGGATGTTTGCAGCTGTTCCTCCTCAATTTGAGTCATGCCACATCACCAAATGGAAGTCTCAAAAGCTTTACGTTATCCATATCATTAAGACTGGTTCTACTCTGAGGATGCAGCTCTTTCCTTGTCCTGTTTTGCAAGCCTTCTTACCTAAGTGGCTTATCCTCCTGCACTGTACTGGACAATGTTTCCGGGCTATTCATAAAGTTGCATGGTAATGTATCAGTGTTTCTCTGCTATTCATGAGATTTTCTCTGGCCAATTCTTTGAGAAGTGGATGGCCTCCTCCTTCTTCCTAGTCTGTCTCACTCTGTAAGCTGCTGAAACCTGTGCACCATGTGCAACCCTACTGGGTTTGAGACACTGGATGCACAGCCTCAAGCCTCACAGCGACATGCCGACATGCCACTATAGGACAAACTGACAGACTTGCCCTTTATTGTTATGTAAATTTTATCTCACTTTGAAATGATGGAACTAAGCCCTACTCACAACAAATTCATCACAATCAACACCAGTTG